CTTTCTGAGACTATAAATTTTTGGTCAACTGACATTATAAGAATTTAAAAAAAAAAAATCATTGAAGGTGCGGATAAAAAAATCCGACTTGGGAAAAACAAACTGAAATGGCTCTAAGTTTCAGAATCCTCAGCTGCGAGAAAACACCTCGATTAAAATATCAAAATCTTTTCAAAAGTAAAGAAAAAAAATGGATAAAGCACCCTTGAACCCCATGATTTCCGAAAATATAACTCCATGAGCCAAATAAAGAACGAAAACCAGATTTCCATTACGCAGAGTGAAGCAAAAACCCTAAAAAGGCACGGAGAAAAGAGTCAAGTGGGAGGGAAAAGAAAAAAGCAAGCATACAGAAATGTGCCTCTCAATTAAACGCTTCTCGAAGAGTAGTCCAGAATTCTTGGAGACAACTGGCTCTTCCGGAATCTCACCGGAAACTGTAGAGCAACACAAGATACCAGTAACAGAAATCAACACAAAACGAAAGAACAGCAGGAGGAATTACCAGGAATTAGAGACAGGAGAACTTACTGGAGCAGTTCATTTTATCGGAGAGCTAGGGCTTATGAGTGCAGTAGTGGCGGAGCAGGATTCTCTCAGACAGCGGACAGCACTGCTAGCCAGTCAGCAACCAGCAGCGCGAGAGGAAGATGAGCGGGAGAGAGAGATCGGGGGGAAAAAAGAGCGCCCGTCCGCGGATACTAGGGATTTTCAAAGCTTGGCTTATATGGGCCGGACTCCCTTCTGCCTGGCCCACTGGGCTTCTGTTATGCGCAGCCCATAAGCAGCCCAATTGGTGAGTGAGTCTACTCAGACTTTATCGATTTATTTTTTTATATAATATATATTTAAGTTTTCATATTACTAAATTAATTGTTCACATTTATATTAAATATAGTTTAATTTTTTTTTTTTTTCGAGAGATATACTAAATTTTGACAAAGGGACTTCTGCCCGTCTCTTCTAGAAAGCTTGTTGCTAAGAACGTGCGTGATTAATCGAGATAATCTTTCCTTCAAATGCATTCAACCTATTTTTGAAGCCACCCTTCTCGTACAAATATATATAAAATCTCGATCACAATCCAAATAGTTATATTTTGTTTCCTTTCGACAGGTCGTGGAATTTAGTCAAGTCTACTTTCACCTTTAATTCCAGCTTGCAATCACGTCTCTATCGATGTAGGATACTTTTATGAACTATTAATGCTTATGCTTTATCTTCATCAGTCATGTCCGAAATCGTCTTCAAAAGGTCATCATCACTCATCCTTTATCATTTATGAACATTGACCCTATTCTACTGTACCTATGTTTTTTTAGATAGCTACATCTATCGAGTTCAATATAAAATCATGATGTATTTTATACTTCATTAATGATGTCGATTCTTCTAATAAATAAACGTCACAGCTCTTCACACGTCTTTCATATTAAATTATTGAAAATGAACGTATAATATAGTCAATAAATAAAACTATATAATATATAAATTAATTAATAAACGAATGTTTCGAGTTTAAAAAAAAATAAAATTAAAATTATTTAAATTGAATATTCGTGAATATTTAAAATATTAAATATTGATATGTTTCGTTACTTTGAAAATGTTTATTTAATAATTTCATATTCTCATTTTTATCTATTTATTTGTTTATTTTAATTATATAAGAAAATTATAACCTTTTAATAATAATGTTAGTTCAATGAGAGCCGTTAAAAAACAACAAAATATGTTTCTTCAAAATTACGAACAAATCAAACCTAATCTAAGACGATTTTTTCACAATCGAATATAACACTAGATCACGAATACTAACCAAAACGAGAAACGAACGATCTTATCCCAAGTAGTAAAATAGAAAAAGGAGTAGGTAAATGGCCAAAATGGTTTGAAAAGAGGATGCATGTGAAGAAGTTAAGGTAATGTGGTGCAAAACAACAAAAATTTGCCCTTTTGTCTTTCAACGGCTCGATATTATCTTCTTTAGACTTTTTTCTGTCACGCTTTCGGTCAAGATTTTTAAACGAGTTTTTTAAGAAAAAAATTTTACACCCTCGTAAAAAATGCTTAGTTCCCTTCTCAAACAGGCTCAACGTCTTTGCTAGCTCTCGTTTCTCTCTCCAATTTATGTTGGATCTTACAATCCACCCCTTCAATGTCTAGTGTTCTCACTGACACTCGTTTCTTTCTTCAATCGATCTCATGTTTGTCCATTTTTTTTTCAATGGAGGGTGGTTTGGTGGTGAGACAATTTTTTGAGCAATCTTATATTGAATGACCTCTTGTAAATTTTCTTACGATATACGTGAATGAAGACAAACCAAACTAAAATGACTCTGTGTTGGTTCGTGGGGATAGTCTTTACTTTTGGAAGCTGTGTGTAACTAACATAACTATATCGACGATGAAGAATGAATGTTAGCTAAAAGAGTATCAATGAATGGTGAGATGACGACGACGACATCAAATTGTTGCTAGTCGAATGTTGAAGAGAAACGATCATAAAAATTGATTGGGAACGGCATGTCGGTGATAACTTACATGTAGATCTAACTAAATATAAAAACATACTTAAAAACTGAAAAGAAAAAAAAAAAAAAAGAAAGTTGAGAAGGCGTTTACTACAAGTAAGCACAATGCACAATAATCATTCAACGAATTTTAATAGATGCATGTGTGACATTTAAATCCACGTCATCTACCAATTAATCTTTTTACTCTTTATTTATGACCTAAGTAAATTATTATTATATTATTATTTTAATTAAGTGAAAATCCACGTGGCCTAATTTACTGAATAAAATAAATGAAAGGAGAGTTATGTATTTTCACATTGTGATTTTGATATCTAACAATTTTAATAATGAAATCACAGATAAAGAAGGAGATTTTATTGAAAACTTTTTAACGCTCATCATTTTTTCATTATTATTATTATTATTAAAAGTCTACAAATAAATTGAGTAGTCATTTAATTAAAAAGTTCAAACGCATTGGGTTATTTTTGTTGGATGATGAAAGTCCCACATCGGTTAATTTAGGGAATGGTCATGTGTTGAACAAAGGACTCCAAAAGGAGTCAAGCCTCCTCGAATGTACGAAGGCAGTAAAAAATGACTAAGACTCCAAAGGAGTCGAGCCTCGATTAAGGGGAGGCGTGCTTTGTTCGAGGGGAGGTGTTGGATGATGAAAGTCCCACATCGGTTAATTTAGGGAATGGTCATGGGTTTATAATCTAAGAATACACTCTTCATTGGTAGATATATTTGAATTGTCTAATTATCGGCTTTATATATACTTCGTAGATATCATGTAATTTAGATTAAAAAGCTAATTATTACCTTGTTTAATTTTTTAATTCTTAAATTAACCATGATTTAATTTAAATTAATTGTCGCTATACATAAAAATAATTCAAACATGAAAAAGCGCCAAAAATTATAATTTCTATTTAAATATTAAATGCACAATAATTTTAAGAATAAAAAGATTCTCAATTATGTTATTATGACTTTGTTTAAATAAAGGGAGTGATAATGAAAGAGAAGAAATTAATAAAAATTACTCGATTATAATTTATATGAGCCTCAAATGGCAAATATTGCATTTTTAAAAAAAAAATTAATTTTGAAAATATCAAATTATTAAGAAAAAAAATGCATTAATAATTATGACGTAATAAAGGCATTAACTTATTTTTGGGCTTGAAATATATTTTTATTTGTTAATTTGTCCAATGAAAAGCCTCCGTACCTTAAGGCTAAACTGACAGACTGTGACTTAACGTAAGCCCAAACTGCCTCTATTTTTAAAAGATATAATAATAGTTAATAAAAATATAAAATTATTTCTGAAATTAAAAAATCGAAGAATGTTCGGTGAGAAATTATTTTAATATTTTGTCTTTTACAGCTATAATAATAAATAGGTAATTCGATTTTTAAATGACAAATTTGCAAATTGAGATATAAAATATAATATATTTAATAAGAGACCAACATTTGAATTCATAATTATTTAAATCTATAAAAAAATGTCATGTATTTAATAAGATAAGATTAAGTATAGTTTGTGAAGGTTGACTAAATCATAATAAGTTAAAATGAAACTTTGAAAGATATAAAAAATGAAATTCAAATTAAAATCCAAAGGATATTGATTTTTCTTGAATAAGTTATCATTTTATATTAAATTATTTATGATTTTAATATTTTATATACTTGTAATAATATCACGATGTTGTTTATAATAATAGAAAATATATTTTCAAGTATTCTAATAATATCTTTGAAAAAAAAAAATGAAAATATTTAAAGTTAAAACAAAATCACTCTATTTTCTCTCTCTTTCACATGCATAAAAACTTTTTTTTAATCAAATTTTCAAACTAAGGACGAAAAAAAAAAAAAAAAACATTATTTTGTATATTTAAAATAAATAATTACTATTTTATCATTTGCAGACCTATATTTATTGCATATTTTATTTTACTCAAAATTGATTAATGATAATTTTGTAGGGTATATTAAATAAAAATGATACTTGTTTAACTTATTCTTTGTACGCTATCATTCGTTATATGTCGTTGTCAGTCTTGCCGTTTTAAAACGTGTTTGCAAATCATTGTTAATAGATATTGTCCACTTTAACCCGTTTTCACACCTTTATAAGAAATGTTTTGTCTCTCCCCAATCTATCTAAGATATCACAATCCATCCCCTTGAGAACCAATGAGTTCCTCTCTCCAATAGACGTGAGATATCACAATTCACTCCCCCTAGGAGCTAGAGTCTTTGCTGACACATTGTACGATATCTAGTTCTAATACCATTTGTAATAGTCTAAACTTATCGCTAAACTTTGACCCGTTATGTATCACTATTAGCCTTACGATTTTAAAGCGTGTTTGTTAGAGAAAGGTTTACACGTTATTATAAGAAATGTTTGGTTTGGTTGCTTATATTTGTTTCTATTAACTAGTCATTTTGGGGAAAAATACTAGACGGAAGAAAGATTCCGAGCGAATCAGGGAAAGAAGTTGATGAATTAGAGAATCGTAAACCCCAATTTCCCACTTTCCACCCTCGAAAGGAAACTGTTCGCCCCAAATCCCCTCTTCCAAAGAACAATGCGCGTTGTGGGCTCCATGTGACACACACAGTGGGGCTTGTATGCGCACCAGCTCACAAACCCCCATTTTTCTTCTTTACCATCCCTCTCCAAGCTGATGAATCAACTGGGTCGCCTCTGAAAATGAAAGATTTCTCCGCGTTTTGGCCATGGCGGTGGGACCTTTAAGCACCGCAGTTTCTGTTCATTGACCTTCCTGCTGCCATTTCTCGTTTTTGCAGTTCGCAGCAGCCACGCATTATCATCGTTGCCCGTTTTAGTTTTTGGGTCATAAAGCTTATCCTGCCTTTCCATGTGCGACCTTGGCTTTGTTCTGTTTTTTGACACTAATTTATTCTCTCCCCCCCCACCCACTAACCTATTCACCTTTCTACTGCCCTCTTTTTCTTTCTCTCCTTCACCGAATATATGCTCAAACTCCGAGGCTTGGAGGATTTCAGAGGCGATTAAGGCGATTCCTCTCTTGTGGGTCTGTCTCCTTGTCTCTGCTTCTTTGACTCGACTCATATTTTGCTCCTCCTTGGATCCATTTCTTGAGGCAAGATAGTAAAAGCTGCTCTTTCCCCTGTTTATTATTATTGTCACTGTTCTTCTTGTTCTTATTATTATACTATTTTTTTCTCTGTTTTGTACTTGTTTATTGAGCTTACTTTCTGTAAAAACTTTGTGTTTTGTGTTTTGGATTGTGGGTTTATCACTCTTAATCATGTTTAGCCTTTATACCCCTGCTTTCCTTTGTGGGGTTGTAGCTATTTTTCCTTCTTCCTTGTTTTCCTTCACTTTCTTCCACCTTCTGGTATCAATCGGAAGCTGTTCTTAAGTTTGATGGCGATTTCTTGCTTGATTCTTCGTGTATTTCCCAATCTTTTGGTTGAGTAAGTTTCTGATTTAGGAGATTCAGGGCAGGTTTGTTTCAGCTTCAAAAAGCTTGAAATGATTGATTATGGAGGACGAGAGGGAGGATGAAAGTTCCACCTCCTTGAAGTTGTTGCTGTTTCTTGGAATTGATATGTAGTGTTCTTCACTTTCAGATTGTGTTCTTGATCTCATGATCTTATGAGAATACTTCCAATCTTTGTGTATAGGTGTTGAAGAAATATGTGATTTGAACAGAGAGAGAGATCAGTGAGCAGTTTTTCAGCCATTCATGATCCTTAATTTACTCAGATAGGATATGGAACAAACATCTACCGATGCTCAGAAAGATCGGCAAAGAGAATTCAGTTCTTTATGTGACAGAAACAACGACGAGGAGCTGTTAGAAAATGGTGATTTGGATCTGTCGAAGTACTCAATATCAGGAGGATTGAATCAGAAGGTAATGCTGCCTAATGCATTGTATTTGAAGTCGAAGCAATACCGAATCAGTAAAAACTATGTTCGTGATTTGGTTTTTAACTGTAATATAGAGTTAGACTATAAGGTTCCGAAGTATATGGTGACGATAGATGAGAAATATCTTCGACGATGCTTGGATTTGATTCAGATTAGTGCATCGAAGCCTGTACGTTGTAACGATTCTATAAACTCGAGCTCTGTGAAGACTGGTGCTGCTTTGACTGAAAGCTTGAGTACGAGTAAATTACGAACAAGAGGGATGGATGGTTTGGAAAGGTTCGATATCGCGTGCCCTTCAACTGGGGAGGATGGCAACACGGTCATAAGCTCGAGTAAACTGTGGTTTGTTGGTTCAATTATGGGAAGTAAGAGCATGATCAACATATTGAAGAGTCCTTTATTGCATCAACTCGGTATCAAAGAGGAAACTTCGAGTTTCGTAAGAATGGATATGAATGATATCGAAGGCTTCGCAGGCGGCAGTTTTATAGACTCTCCCAATGGTGTGGATATATCTTCATTGAAGAAGCTAGAAAATGCAGAACCGACAAAGGGAAGCCATCGAGATGGATCTGATACAGCAAACGAGAGGTTTTTCTCCACACCGAGCAGGAATTCTTTATGTTCTGATCAGTCTTCTTCGGGTTCAGCGTCCACACCGCTTTGCCAAGGTATGCTTCAGTTCACATGGAAGGAAGGAAGCCCTCACTTCGTTTTCTCTGTAGATGATGAGAAGGAGGTCTATGTGGCTGACTCGTCGAAGGTCGTGTCAGCTGATAATAACGCATTGGACTATGTTTATTTGTTTCGTTCGACAAAGAGTGGTCTAAAGGATCATGAGGTTAGAAATACCAGACCCCGTATCGTTGGCAAGATGACGGTGTCGTCTTCTTATAGTGTCTGTCTGAATAATTCAAAAGTTGTGGATACTGAATTTGTGTTGTTTGGTGGTATCGAAAATTCTGACGTAGAGACGAATGCTTCAAACACCATCTTTAAAAAGAACAAGGTGTTTCCAAGAAGGGTGGCTGAAGTATTTAGGACAAGTAACTCATCTAAACAGAATAGATCTGGTGTCTTGAAGGATTCTTGTCCTTGGGAACCATACTCGAATAAACACAACAGCTCCGATGACTTAATTTGTGCTCGTAGCCTTCCTCCGAATCTTGAATTGGCTGCTGTTGTCGTGAGAGACCATCTTCCGGAAGATCGTGGCAGCGGAGTTGGAGGCTGGGGTTTGAAGTTCCTCAAACAGGTCGAGGCCAAACAAACAATACAGGCTGACTGTTGTATGCGAAACAGCACAAAATGTTCGACGAGCATGAATGTTCTTATTCCTGCTGGTCTCCATGGCGGGCCTAGAACAAGGAACGGTGGTCCTTCCACCCTCATGGAACGGTGGAGATCGAATGGACTCTGTGATTGCGGCGGTTGGGACATCGGATGCCCTCTAACGGTACTTGAAGGCCAATCTGTCAACAACAATACTTCTCGCCAAGCAGACGTGCAAGAATGCAGGGCATTTAACATACATGCTAAGGTATACATACACTCCCCCTTTGTGTCTTGCTGCTGATTCGAGCACGAAAACTGCTCTAACTTTATTAGTTTACTTCTTTTTGCACGACTCTGAATTCTGAATCATTCTCGTTACTTAGCTAGATTCGTGATTGTGAATCGGATACTGAGAATGCGATTGTCATGTTTCAGGGTTGTGAGAATGGTCCTCCAACATTGAGGATGGTGAACATCCGCGACGGCTTGTACTTTGTTCATTTTCAATCGAAACTATCGTCTCTGCAATGTTTCTCAATTGCAGTGGCGATCGTCCATTCGCGAAGTCCGGGTCTCAAACCCAGAAATGTACAGGAGTTAAAAGTAGTTAGCATAAAGCAGTAGGCAAGTTTAAGGTTTTAGACATGAAAATTAGAAGTTATAACTAAACTAGATCTGTTGCTTCACACTGGAAACTGGATAAGGTTGTTCTCCATTTCAGCTGTGGGGACATGTTTGAAAGAACAGGAATTAGGTTAATGTCGTTTGACTTCTTGATCTGAAGTTGACTTTAATTCCGTGTCCCCAACGGCATTTGTTGAGGACTTTTTGTATTTTCTTATTCATATTATAGTTTTGTAAAGCCTATTTGTTTGATAATAAAATAATATTTGATTCCAATAGTCACTTCAATTGTTGTTGACTTTTTTTCGATACTATTTATTTTTTTATTTTTTAGAAATTACACTAAATTAAGTTTTTATTTTTAGAATTTAATTGAAAATTTAAATGGAGTTATAATTAAAATTTTCAGAGGAAAGCAGCATAAATTAAAAAAATTGAAAATAAAATAAGAAATCAGTCGAAAATAAAAGAAGATAATGGCAAATTCGTAATTTCAGCATTAGATTTAATCTCAATTTTATGGTGAATTATTGAATTATGTCCTTAATTATTTTCTCTAATAAGTTATTAGCATTAATACCATTAATGGCGATTGGGCCTGATGGATCAATTGGGCTCAATAGATTTTGGGCTTTAAAGCCCAAGTTGTCATCCCTATATAATTGTCTATAAATATGGGGAAAACCCTAGCGCTGGTCGACATCACGAGACTTTCTATTGGGTAAAACCCTAATAGCTCTTCTTTTTCCTTTCACCTTCGTTCAGTTTCGCCTCTCTCAATCTCTGTTAGTTTTGCCCTAATTGCGAAATTGCTGGTGATGTGGTGTCGAGAATTTTCTGTATTTTGTTTCTCTGCACCTCCCATACCCAGCTAGATTGTACGCCAATCTTATCCCATTACGAGACGATAGCTGTCTAGGCTGGGACATTTTTTACCTCGATATTTAGTCTGTTTTCTTATGGAATGTTGCAGATTGTTGGGTATGTACTGGATGGAGGCTTAGCCGGTTGGAAGTTGATTTGATTGACAATCGTTTTCGCGAGAAATTTGGTGCTCCCAGACTTAGTCATGTGTCATCTCTAACTTTAATGGTTTGATACAGTTACGAGTCTGGAAAATTGACGGAGTCCATCGTTACAGATGTGTGTACCTTTTTTAGTTCATATCTGCTCCATTTGGTCTCTACATGATAGTATTGTTCAAATTCCTCCAGTTTCTCAAGATTACGATTTCCTTTCTAGGGTCAAATATTTTATGGAATTCTTTATTTATCTACTAATTCATTTCTGCGAAAATTTTGGGTCAAATGGCGGTGGAACTTCAAAATCCTAATTCTATTGTTTTTGCGACGACTTACCTATCTTCTTGATTTACAGCTGTTCTTAAAACGGAGATGATTTATTCATCTTAAAGTTGTGGTATCCACATCTAAGTTGCTTCCCACGTCGATGGCTTTAGAATTGGTTAACCAAGAATTTCTGGGCTGAAAGAGAATGCAATTTGTGGGGCTGCTTAATACTTTAGATCAGTTGTAACTATAGACCTTCGGAATAATATTACACTTGGATTGGTGCAATTTGGAGCTACTTAAACAAAGATCAATGGCATCTTGTGAACATATGGACCTTATGCTTGCAAGAATTGAAGAACATATGGACCTTGTGCAGGCAAGAATTGAAGATTTACTTGTGTGAACTTGAAGTTCTGTAGATTTTAGAAGATTTAGAGATTGAACCAGGTTGTGGCAGAGGTTTCTTCTCTGTACCTTACAGAACACATCAGTCAACCATATAGCCTCCATATTCCCTTCCTTCTTCTTTCTTCAGAATCGACTTGGAACTTATCGTCATCAATCGACTAAGCATTATGTTATCCAATATCCCATTTTTCAAACCATTGACCAACATTTTATTTGTATTTGTGATGTGCATTGGGTTTGACAAGAGATTAGAGATGAAAGGGATGTGGAGTGAATATTGATTCGATGATTTTTTCAACTTCTCCATGGCATTTTTTCAAAGGACCATTTAACAGTTTTTTATTTGTGGGAAAAGGCCATTTAAATAAGTATGCAACAATTTAACAAAATTTTGAAGAAGTATTTCAATGGACATGAGGATGGAGCAGTTCTGATTGGTGTGATTTATTAATCTGACTTTAGGCTGGAAATGCTTGTCATTACTTCTTTATCTTCATCACTCGGTGTATAATTCCAAAGAATTCCAGATTTCATGCCAAGCCCGTTGAATTGGATGCCGCCACTCTGGCCTGTCCTGCATGTGATTTGTAGCCGATACCCTCAGATTATTATTGTTGTTCCTTTGTACTTTTTAGTGAAAGGTTTGGAGACTAATTCAAATACTTGATATATATACCGAAGGTTATACGGCGAAATGGTATTATTTACATTGAAAAGGAAAAAAAGAGAGATTTACATTGGCGTTGAATAAAGCTCTTCCACTTTTTCGAATGATTTGATTGGAAATAGACAAATGTGTTTGTGGTGGCACACTACAGCTTGGATTCAGGGTCCCATGTGATCTTATTTCGCCCAATTTATTGACTCTGTCCCTTCCGATCATTGCCTGTAATGTGCCTACTTAAACGCTTCCAACTTGCACTTCTATTGCACAACCCATAACACAATGGCGAAATCTCTACTACCCCATCTCTCTGTTTTCCTCTTCCTTTTCATCACTGCAACTGCATCGGCTTCAGACTGGAACATTCTGAGCCAGAGGTCCAGAAATGGCCTCAAAATCAGCCTTAAAAACTACTGCGAAAGCTGGAGATTGAACGTCGAGCTTCACAACATCCGATTCTTCCATGTGGTGCCTGAGGAATGCGTTAGCTACATTGGCAAATACGTTACCTCCACTCAGTACAAAGTTGATTCCGAGAGGACGATCGAAGAGTGCATCGTGTACCTTACCAAGGGCTGTGCCCTTAAAGGTGATGGCACTGATGCTTGGATCTTCGACATCGATGATACCCTCATCTCCACTGTCCCCTATTACAAGAAAAATCAATTTGGGTAACTTTTTTTTTTCCCTTTACATCATACCCTTTACTTGTTTTGTGTTTTGAATTGATTGTCTACAGATTCTGGTTCCCTTTTGCTTGGTGTTCTGTGTTTGGATTGCTGAAGAATGTTTATAAGTCTGTAGAATGTGTTCTGAATTCTGATTGATTGCTATTTTGTTGAATGGGATTATGGGAGGGTAGGGGGAAGAAATTGAACCTGACGGATTTGGAGGCGTGGATGAGCAAGGCCAAAGCACCACTTTTGGATCACTCATTGAGGCTTTTCAATATGCTGAAAGCGAGAGGAGTGGACATCATTTTGATATCCGCGAGACGGGAATATCTCAGATCTGCCACCATTGAGAATCTTGTTCAAGTGGGCTACCATGGATGGACCAATCTCATCTTAAGGTCAGTCAGTCAGTCAATCCACGAGTCCAGAAATCAGAATCCTGTCTCTCGTTTTGCGAGTGAGTGATGAGTTTGTTCGCTTGTTTCTATGTTTGATTTGCAGGAGCCCTGAAGATGAGAAGAAGGAAGTGGAGCAATACAAGGCAGATGTGAGAAGGCGATTGGTGAATGGAGGGTACAACATTTGGGGGAATGTGGGAGATCAATATAGCAGCATTGAAGGAAAGCCAAGGGGAAGAAGAACGTTCAAGCTTCCAAATCCAATGTATTATGTTTATTAAGCAATGCAATTTCGACTTGCTTTTGGCTTTTTAATCCGTTTCTTTTTCACTCCATGAATGATGGTCGGGAAGGATTGATCTACACAGACAGAGGGAAGGATCAGAGAGAGATGTGACATGTGTGATGAATAAGCTTAGCTTGCTATCTGTTAAAGCTGTAATCTCGTATTTGGAACTTGTTTTGATCATTTCTTAATCAGAAAGAAGTCCATGTGATCATCTCCTTATTTTCTCTTATTCCTTATTCTGAATGAATCATGAAACCACCGTATTTTTGTCTTGGTGTTCTTTGCTTTTAAACCAGCTAGAACTTTTTCTGTGAAGATTTGGATGTTTTTTTGCAGTTCTACAGTTTTGATCGTTGATGGACTGTTTAGATCTTCAATCATCAAGTTTCATACAAGGATTGAAATATTGCTGCTGCCAAATTGAAGAATATGGTATATAAACGACAGCAGAAAGTAGAGAGATCTATGATTTATATATGATATCAAGGGAACAGGTTGATGAGATCAAGCAAGGAATCCTAATCTTTCTCCATTCTTCTTGGCTAACCTAATCAATCCCTGCCTTTGCTTTGCATCAGCTCCTATAGATTTGCAGAACTCAGTAATTACCTGTCCAAAAGGAGAAACTTCAACACAGCTTTCTCACTAAGGAGAATTCAAGTGAAGGAGGGTAGCTCAATACCTGGGAGTGCAGGGCAATGGCCTTGCCTCTCAGCTGATTGAAACGCTTCTTTCCAATAATATTTCGAGCAAGAACAACAACAGGTGCAAATAGTCCTTTCCCTTCATTAATATTCTTCATCACTGGCAGGAATCTTACAGGCTTTACGACTCGAACGGCTTCCGGGACTGACTTGATCAGCACGGTGCTGTTGTCGCCGCAAATTGAAGTCCCCCATCCTCCATGGAAGGTGGTGGAGTAAAGAGGCTTATGAAACCCAGCTACAGAAACTGAAGTTGCCATGAAAAGGGTGCAAGATCAGAGAGCTGTTCTTCTAGATGGCTTCAGTGATGGCTTGAAGGGTCTTTACCAGCATGCTGGAACTTGTAATGGAAGCATGGATTTGATGATGGGTTTTGTATGCTTTGTGAAAATGGATAGTTTTGAAAGGGGGAGAGAGGTGAGGAGTCATTTTTGGAGCCACACAAACTGATGGCGTGGATTTTGGTTTAGACAACTGATGGTCCCTATTGGTTTGGAACATTATCAGAATCCACACTGCAATTGGCCCCTTTCCTGCTTGCTTCCATCTGTCTACTTTTTATCAACCATATTCATTACAGGCGGCATCTTCCTACCCACGTGATAAAGCTTTATTTTACTTATTTTTCGAAGTTTGATTTGAATAAATTTCGATAGAATCATCCAGATAGATCTAGTTCTACATTAACGGCACATTCTAGTATGAGGATGTGTATGTATGTATTATGAAATATAAAGATCTACCAAAGATATAAACGAGTACACTCCGATACTTGGATATAGTTTTAGTCGTTGTTTCATATTGGTCCCCAAATACAGGTTCTCTATGAGAATTGACAATGGCAACATGTGAAACTAAG